CAACTAAACATCAAAGTGTGTGCAACTAGACTACATTGCAGGCCAACTATGCATATGTGTGTGTGCACTAATCCTGCCAACTAAACATCAAAGTGTGTGCAACTAGGCTACATTGAAGGCCAACTAAGCATATGTGTGTGTGCACTAATCCTGCCAACTAAACATCAAAGTGTGTGCAACTAGACTACATAATAGGCCAATTAAGTATATGTGTGTGTGCACTAATCCTGCCAACTAAACATCAAAATGTGTGCAACTAGACTACACTGTAGGCCAACTAAGCATATGTGTGTGTGCAAAAAAAGACCGGAGGAGGCGGTGGTGCTGCTGCTCTGGCTCCACGGCTGGGGTCTCCCCAGCGACCTACTAACCCAAGCAATCATGCAGCACATGGATATCCATTCTATCACGAGGGCTCAATCTCATTTGCAAGTAGAATGAGTCGACAAAATACGTAAGTAGAAAAAGAACACTACTAGAAATAACTAGCATCTAAAGTTCACCAGTGCCGTGTAGCCCATGTCTGAAGAAATCTAATGCTATGTGCATCCAGTCTATTATGCACAGCAGATACAGAAATACGTAGTACCCAAGTACTAGTAAGCAGGACAGCTCGGAGGATGGGGTTGACCTTAGGTGCTTGGAGTGGACGGAGTGGCTAATCTGCTTGCACTCGAACTGGCGACGCTTGCCTTCGCCTCCTCCGCCCATCGCCGATTTGGTCGCCAGAGAAAAAAAAATGGAGAAGGGAGCGGCCGGGCGGAGCAGATGCAGGGGAGCGCCGGGGACACCTCATCGTACTGGAAGAGCTGATCGAGCGCGTACTCCATCCAGAGCTGGCTTCGTCCTCGATCCAGCCTCAACAGATCGGACACGGGTGGGTACACAGGCCACCGGATTTGATATGTATGCGAGCGGCGGCGTCTGGATCCAGCTGAGTGGCGTGGGCGCCCGTTCCCAACTTGCGGCGGCCGGCGTGAGAGGGGTGGAGGCGGCGGCCGGCGGGAGAGGGGCGGAAGCGGCGGCCTGCGGGAGAGGGGCGGAGGCGGCGGCGCGACGGGATGGGGACGAAGGGTGTGGAAGAGTAGATAGCGATAAATTGCCAGCCGTTCCACGGTTGAGAGCGCCCGACCAGGTAGCACCTGGCCGACTCGTGTAGCGACTGGGGGGCGGGATCGAGCGGCCAGGAGCCAGCCGCTCGTTGTCTCTAAATAGTGCGTATGCACTTTTTAGATTTTAGGTTTTTTTTACGCCAATTGTCATCAGCTTTAGTACAATGGATGGTTCAGATCGTTTACGACCTCTGGATAGAACGTGGGCCTACATTCAGCGGCACTGCCCTTCCAACAAAAAGGATAACGTTCATCCCCCAATCCTCCCCCGCCCCCGTCCGGCACCTCTCTCGCTTCTTCCTCCGGCCCATGCGACGGCATTGACATCTTTGCCCGCCTGACCTTTCGATGGCCGCCGCCGCCACCGCCGCCGCCGCAACCGGCACACTTCTTCCCCACGCACTATTGAATCACCGCTCGCCTCCACCGCCACAGCTCCTCGCGCTTTCCTCCTCCTTCCGCCGCCTCTCCTTATCCACCTCCCATCGCCGGAACACCCATTTAGTCGCCCATGCAGACGCCGGTGCCGCAGAGCCGGAGCCCGCGACGGAGCCTGCTCCTGAGGGCGAGCCTGTCGCTGCCTCTGCTGACTCCGAGGAGGGGGAGGCGGAGGGGGCTGTCGCATTGGCGGAGGAAGAGGAGGAGCTGGCGCCGAGGCCCAAGCCGATTAAGTTCGGCGAGATCATCGGGGTAAGCATCACTTCCCCATACATTGCCTCTTCGGTTTGTAGAAATGCAAGCCGCCGGTCAAGTTAGGCTGAATTGTTGGCGGTGGAGAAATGCAGGTAACGAAACAGCATGCCATCGAGGGGTATCATTTCTTAGCTTAATATGCAAAATTGTAATCTCGATATGAATAGTTTTGAGTTGTCTGTTGAGTTGCTAGGAGCATAGTCTCTCGAGCACCATCGCATTAGGTTGTACTAACATATATTGTGAATTTAGCAACGCAAATGATAACTGTTTTTTCTTGCTGAGGTTCAGATAGGAGAAGATGTCTCTTGCTAAAATAAGTTTCATGATTGCATTAGCATGCGTGAATGGAGTCTGGTCGTTCTTTGGATTTCTGTATGCTTTTACTTGTTACATCCAAGACCATTTTGGTTTTTTGGAGCGCTTGACGTGTGATATACTATTCCCTGAATTATTTGGTACCATAGATTCTGAACAAGCAGTTCATCGAGGAGGCTGAGAAGGTGAAAGTGCTTCCGGATTTGAAGCCCGGTGACATCATCGAGCTTAGAATGGTGAGATTGTTTGCTACTCTTGAATGTGGTTTTATTTTCTTATTTGGGGGTTATTGATGTCCTAAGCAAATGTTGTTGCAGCAACGTCCCAACAAGAGGAGATTGTCTCTCTTTAAGGGTATAATCATTGCAAAGCACAAATCTGGTGTTCACACCACGATCCGCGTCAGGAGGATTATTGCCGGTGTTGGAGTTGAAATTACATTCCCCATGTAAGTTGAGTTTACTTAAATTACCGAGTTTTTCATTTAATGTGGATACCCTCCCATGTATCAAATGGTGACAGTGAGTTTGTATTGAATCTATATTGCAAAACATTTATGTGTATCTTTTGTTCCCTTCAACAAGAAATTTGGACTATGCACATGTCTTTCTACCGGCATACTAACCTTAGTTATATCAACATGTGTATATGAAACTTTTGAGTTCGTTGGCCTTCACATACTTGGTCTCAGGTACTTTAGGTTTTCTAATGTCCACCTTAAAATGGTTGAATGGCTATTTGTATCAATTTTACAATGAATTGAGCACCCAAGATACTTTTCTCACGATCTGTTTGGTCTAAGATACTAGTGCGTAGGTTAATTTGGAATTTCCCTTTGAATGTTTGAAGAGAGAAGTGCATATTACACCCCTCAACTCTAGCCCTAGTCTAATATACAACCTCCAACTCCAAAACCGTCTAATCTGCAACCTCCAACTCTTAAAACCGGCCAAAATTCAACCCTCCTCTCCCCTTGACCGGTTTTGACCGGGTCTGACCCATTGACTGATGAACAGTAAATTTGAAAAAAATGGAAAATTCAGAAAAATAAAAATAAAAAAATTGTAAATTCAAGAAATAGTTGGGAACAAAATTTTAAAAATAATTTCGACTTTTCCACCGTGCGAACAGTAATTCAAAAAAAGTTTGAACTTTTGGAACGAAATTTTTCCCTCGGCACTGTTCATGCAGTGAAAAAATGATTTTCCTGATTTTTTTTACTTTTTTGAATACTGTTCATGCTGTTTACAGTAATTCAAAAAACAAATCCCGGTGAATTTTGTTTCCAATTTATTACCTCCGGGTACATGTAAAAAAAACTGAATTTTTAATACTGTTCACCGGTGAAAAGTCGAATTTATTTTTTAAAAATTCTGTTCCCAATTTTTTTTTTGAATACTGTTCATCCGGAGGCAAAAAATGCTTTCTAAAATTTTATTTTTCTGAATTTTCATTTTTTTCCGAACTTACTGTTCATCAATCAATGGGTCAAAACCGGTCAAGGGGAGGGGAGGGTTGAATTTTGGCCGGTTTTAAGAGTTGGAGGTTGCAGATTAGACGGTTTTGGAGTTGGGGGTTGTATATTAGACTAGGGCTAGAGTTGAGGGGTGTAATATGCACTTCTCTCATGTTTGAAAGGTGTGAAGCATTATTGCTCAAAATGCATTACTTACGTCCATACAGAAGAGGCAAATTTACGAAACCAGTTAATTGATGCAACTTGGAATTTTCTATGAAGGATTGGATAGCTATCAAGTAGGAGTTGAATTCAATTAATCGCCGATATAGTCCTTTCGTACTTAAACAGCTCATTGCGGAATTCTGTTTGGCATTGACATTGTTGCACTATCATGAATGTGAAACTTTGGATTAAGCAAGTACTTTTCCGTTACTCTTATTCTACTCACTACTCAGATGGGGTTATCCAACTTACAAATGCTCTCATTTCTGAAAATAAAATAGAAGAGTCTATTTGCAACACTTTGCATATTGCTGCTGTTGAATGTGTTTATTTGCACACATCTTCCGTAGTAACGAGAAAACAGCTGGCCCATCGTCTCATGTGTAAAAATTGAAATCATATGAGCAGTGGCCCTTTATTTGTGCTAAATATCATGTTTTGCTTTTCGTGCACCCGGAAATAGAAATGCTTGAAGACCAAACACTGTCCAGACTGGATCCCTGCAACAGAATGATACTTACTGAGCCTATACATTCCATTGCAGATACTCACCAAGGATCAAGGAGATCAAAGTAATCAGACACAAGAAGGTGAGGAGGGCAAAGTTGTACTACCTGAAGTACAAGCTTCCCCGTTTCTCAACCTTCAAGTGAGATTAGACTCGCAGCTTCTCACACTAGCATGTCGATTTCTCCTTGACAAACGAGTTTTCACAATCATGTTCAGATCTGTGCATCCACTGTAATGATCTCTGAACCTCGAGTTGCATAATCTTACATCTTTTTTCGATTGACATATATTTCGTCTTGCGGTGGAGGAGTGTACTTGTGAGTGTATAAAATTCCTACCAGCGCTCCGGTATGAATATGATGATGTTTATTGCGCCCTTTCCTTGCTCCCAGCTACCCACCAGAGTCCCAACTGTTTTTTTTTTGAAAGGCACCAGAGTCCCAACTGTTGGTTAACAGTACGTAACGCTGCTGTTATGAAAGAAGAACAGTGGTTACGAAATAGTAGGTCTGGGCTCTTATGTACTCCTATATAATGAAGAAGGGTTGAAGTTTTCTGCAGTACCGCTGGTTGGTTTGATGGTGAGTCATGTCGTATCAATTTTCTCTCCAGCTTAGGAAACTTGCACCTAGGGGTTAGACGACATTGGGTGTCTATGTGCCCGTGGCATTGCTGCCCTGGAAACTCACATTGCTTGCTCACTCCAGAAACACAATAAAGTTTCACTCAGCTAGATATATGTATGGCATGGAGGTTTCATGCTATTGCTATGCTAGGTGTAGTTTTTATATTTATTTTTTGCTGGACCATCTATGATTTTCATACTGGAGTCTGGAGGGTTAAGCCTACTTGGTAGCAGCATCCAGGACCAAGTTTTAAGTTAGGGAAAGTTTAGCTCTTAAGCTAAGGCAAAGATTAGCTCTTGTTTCATTAAAGCAAGCAATAACTGGGTCCTACGTTGCTGATTTTCTCGTGTCTTATCGCTAACGGCGAAAATGATTGAAAACCTCGTCAGCTACTACTAGCAATTTTTGTTGGGTAGGGCGCCTACCGTGAGTACAATAAGAGCAACAAATACTGCGATTATTCGTTGGGAAGAGTACCGAACGAAGGGCAAATTATTATAATCGGACAAGAATATCCTTCCGATCCCCTTTTTGTACTTCTTAATTAGTAATGTGCAATGTAGGAGTATATAATCACTATGGCCTTTTACGTTTTCTCAGTGGGCAAAGGCAAGTGGCAACATGATCTCACTGTCTCTCTTACGCTCGAATTTTTCTGGTGATTTATTACATCAAACATGTAAGAGAAATGTACTACTACAGTATATAGATTTGCTTGAGAGAGCAAGCGATTCATCTCCAGTGCATCCGGGTAAAAGTTGCTCCCGAAACATGATAAAAAATCACATGCCAAGTGGCCTTGACAAGAGCACACGGAAAAAGTAGTAGCATAAAATCACCAACCACCAATAAAAAAATGATTAGATAAAGGAGGAGTGCTGTTCACTCGCGGGAAAAAAGGGGGGAGAGGAAAACGCAAACTGCCAGCCACGGGCCCAAGAAGTGAGTGCTGCCCCGTCAATGTCGCCGGGAGGCCAAGAAAGGCAAAGCGAACCCATTCATTTCCCTCTTTCTTCCTCCCCTCCGTCCTCCCTCCCTCCCCATTTCTCCCCCGAATCGCTGCTCGTCGTCGATTTCCGCTCCGGCCCGGCTCCTGCCTTCCTGGAGAGAAAGGTTGGGACGATCCTCCTCTGAACCAGCAGAAACCACCTCCTCCTATGTCTCTTCCAATGCAAACGATTCACGAGTGTGGTGGTTTCTTCCCCGTTTCTCGCGTCAGGTTCAGGCGCCGCAATGGTGGGAGGGGCGCTGATCTCGGTCTACCCGGACGACCTCACCTTCCTCTGTAAGTTGTTCCTGAGATTTTTCTCCGCATTCTGCGAAATAAAAAACCTCCGTGGTTTTCTCTCCGTTGGTTGAACTGAATTCTTGTGCCTAGTCGAGCTGGACAAGCCGTGCTACTGCAATCTCAAGGTGGTGAACAACAGCGAGCACCATGTCGCCTTCAAGGTTCGTGCCATTTCCATTCCACGGCGCGGGACGGACTCTGGTTTTCCGCCGTGCGTTCCGGTGAAGCTCTTGGAGAAGATCGAGGTTCAGGTTTGATCAGAATTCGTTCGTTTTTCAGGTCAAGACGACGTCTCCGAGGAAGTACTTCGTCCGGCCGAACGCCAGCGTCGTCCAGCCGTGGGATTCTTGCACGATAACAAGTAAGAATGCATACATGCATACATACTCCAGGATTCTTCATTTGGTTCTGATGTGCGCGCATCTGCCTTCTTGTTTTGGGTTATAGTTACCCTACAGTCACAGAAAGAGTACCCTCCAGATATGCAATCCAAGGATAAATTCTTGATTCAGAGCACCAGGGTGGCTGCCAGCACCGACATGGATGAAATCCCCCCTGACACTGTGAGCATAAATAAAACTCACAATCACTGGTTTCTATGATCTAGCATCGCAATGTCATCAGAATAAAATGATTGGGATTCCACCAACTATATTCCACCTTTGTATGTATTCCTCAGTTCAACAAGGAGACTGATAAGGTGATTGAGGAAATGAAGCTCAAGGTTGTCTACACATTGCCCAGTGGAAGCTCGGACGACTCTGGTGTTACATCTTCAGCAAATAGGAGCTTCAAGCAGGGCGGCGACGATCTCTCGGTGAGATTGGCTAGCTCTATCATCTACGTAGGAAACATATGTTGGATCTGCTAATAAAAATTTAGTACAAAGGCTAACTGTATTTCACATGTTTATGCTTTACCTTGCAGATGCTGAAGAATGCGAGCATTGAAGAGGTAACCCGCTCTATCCAAACAGAAATTTCGCATGTTTATTTAGAAACCTGACCAAAAAACTGCTAGCAAAGACATTTCCCCTGATGAGTTCTGAGAAAGAATTATTCTACCATTTAGACTTGACAGACTTGAAGCCTCTACCAAACTCTGTAATATTGCGCTGCGCACTTCCAAAAAATATACATTACATTCATCTTAGGATCTTTTTAATACTTTGCAGTACGTTTTTGCACTGAGGTAGTTGCTGTAGTCTTGCAAATACTATTTCTCTCTTAGATTCTTAAATGCAGAAGAAAATACACGCTACCTTTTCTTATATAAAATTGTGAAAAGAGCAAATATTGGAAATAGGACAATGTTCAAGCACCATCAAATCATTGTTGAAATCGGCGTAAAGTTGATCGAGCGTGAGAAAAGGTACCTATGCTTCCAGGCCGGTGTCATAATTGAGGTAGGAAGGGATGCCCAGAAGCCCACGGGCATGTTGCCCTATGTACATAGTTAATTGTGCAATGGGACCAGAATTCGGAATTTTTTACCCACTTTTGTTCATCTGGACCAGAGTATCTTCCTTTATCCTGATTGACATATTCCAACTCAAACTTTTTTTTCCCAAAAATCATGATTCTAAAGTGTGTCCTGGATGAGATATGCTCACTGTGCAGCAATTAACTTTTATGATCAAGCTGTTACTAATAAAAAAAACATATTATGCGAACCTTTTGTCCTTTTTACTCAGTAAATTGTTCCTTTCCTTTTATCCAGATCCAGACAATACAGCGTCTGAAGGACGAAAGGGATAACAATCTTCAGCAAAATCAACAAATGCAACGTGAACTGGTGCTGTACATTGACCTTTTCACACTTCATGTCGTTTCTACTCACTGTTTTAGTTCAGTTCAGCTCCTAGTTTGCTTAAGCATATTAACATTTGGATTTTGATGCTTTTGCTTGTTTCTCGTTGTTTGAATCCATAACTAAATATGTAAAAGGCAGATAATGATAAATATTATTTTATAAAAAAGTATGACCTTTGAGCAAATGCAAAAGAATATGTTGGTCCTTGATGAGTAACAAGTTTTTTGTTTTGCAATGTGTCATTAATCACATTTCATTTTTATAAATATAAAAAATTGGCTTGATTACCATTTTTCCCTTGCCATAAGTTACTTTGTGGATGTTTTAGCAGAAACAAAGTCAAAGCACTATATTATTTTGTCCTTTGTCCTACTAGATCATTTATTTATCGAGGACACAGACTAAGAGCTGGACCTTGGAAATGGGAAACCAAGTCACTATGGCGTTAGCTCAATTTTGGAGTGAAACTAGATTGCCAAAGGGTAGTGGGCCAGTTAAATCAGACTTGATACTATGGATATGCCATGGTGCCTACTGTTTCGTTCTTTTTCTGCCAGCAGTTAATATGGTCACTTTAGACGTTGATATAACAGAAAATGAACAGAAATGTGAGGTGCCACCTGCCAATCATGCTAAGTTTATTTCCATATTTTTATTACTTTTGACTCTAAAATGTAGATTGGCGGTTGATATCGAAGTACTAAACCTAGGTTAACTTCTGCATGAAATGCTGATTGCCTACATATACGTCCTCGCTTATATTGGATTTATCCCTAAATATAAAAAAATTAACATTTCAGGACATGCTGAGGAGGCGTAGAAGCCGCAAAGGCGATGCTGGTTTCTCTTTGACATTTGCTGCTTTTGCTGGGATCATAGGTCTCCTGGTTGGGCTGTTGATGAGCCTCATCTTCTCTTCCCCTCCAGCGACTACTTAGATGCCAAGATTGAAGCCTAGAGTAACAGTATTCAGCCCAGTTTCCAGATGCTTGGGGAGAAAGATTAAAAGTTATATTACTCTAGTCTCAACTATCATTCTTTGTTCTTTGCATTGTAGGTATACATGCCTTATCACAACGGGCTTGCAATGTTTAGCCCGTGTTTGCTTCGTCTTCCATTTGTATTTATATTCCTCTACTGTGTATTTTTTTCTGTATAATTAGTTTGGCATATATCAGGAAGACAAATGTATGCATTCACCTATTAGAAATGTAAAGGCTGAAAAGGAAGCATGTGTTATCTATCCTAGTGACCCTCTTTCAAAATGTAGGGCATATTTTGTTCCTAGACTTTGATCAATAGTATGTAATTTGTTTTATACAAAAATTGATAGAAACACGTGTTCAAAAACATATTTTCCATCTCATAACAATTACAGAATATAATATACAAAAATTACGGTCAAAATACAAACTTAGAAAACCAAAATATGAATATGCCACATATCTGACTTGGGGGAGTAACTTTAAGAAAACATGTTTGATAATCTAATGAACTAGCTGACGCATGGAGCATTCTTATGTTTAGAGCCTCATTTATTTAGTGGATTATAAAACATGGGAATAGGAAAAACTTAGACTTTAATATCATGAGATGGGAAACACAAAAATATGCAACTAAAGTTGTTTGATCACGCCACAAGAACAATGCACAAATTACTTTGAAGAATTAGGTGTTCTTTTTTTTTAAACAAGGCAAAAGACTTGCCATTTTCATTTAATAAGAAGAGGTTTCAGAACAGACATCGCCAAGCGGCGGAAAAGCAAAACAATTACTCTCGCGGTATTACATTACGCAAATGCTTAGCGCCTGCAGTGGCCCAAATCAAAACTTCATCTTTGATGCGTCACATGACAATCGCCACCGGCGCCGCTTTGCTCCTGAAGACACGAGCATTCCTTTCATTCCATATCTCCCATCCCACAAGAAGTAACAGGGAAGATAGGGCCTTCATCGGGAGTGTATTATCAGAGAGAACCGCATCCCACCAAGATTTCACCGAATCGAACAGGAGCCACGGAGCCGTGGGGATAGCAAGCCCGAGCCATGAGAAGACCGCATTCCAAATCCGAACAGAGAAACGACACTTGAAGATCAGGTGTGCTGCAGATTCTTGCACCTGACTGCAGAGTGGGCATTTGTCACAATTTGGCCATCCTCTCCTCTGAAGCCTATCAGCCGTCCAAACTCTGTTGTGGATAACGAGCCACGCGAAAAATTTGCATTTGGGGGGAGCCCACGCCTTCCAAACCGCAGCAGCCAAACTTGAGAGCGGGAGGTCATGAAACTACGCCAAATAAGCAGACTTTGCAGAGTACTGCCCATCATTAGGTGTTCACTATAGTTGTTATAGAAACATATAAATGCTTCCATGAGGTTGTACTCACTCAAAAAAATTCCTTTGAATTACATGCAAATTAGTTTATAGGAAAATAGAAAGACCTAAAAATGCATTCCTCTAATTTCCTATTAAACAAAGAGACACTTGCTTATTATTATGCTCATGACAGTATTAGTTTGCAGTCGGCTCCTCTAAATAAGGACTTGCAAAAAGGTCTCGATTGCACTTCTCGAGCAAGAGTTTGCTTTTGAGAAGATTTCTTGCCTTTTCTTCTTTCAAATTTCTATTTCTAAGTCATGTGAGAAATAATTATTTGTATATCGACCAAGTTGCACATCTTGAAACATGCATGTGTTTATTTAGGGTGATCCAAAAGATCTTGTATTAGTTTACAGATGGAGTACATAATTGTTGTCCTAGAAACAAAAAAAAGGACAACAGATAATCTTTTTTTAGAATCATTGAAAACCTTTTTAAATATGAATCCAATAATATAAGATTTTTGACACGCAATTTATATTTTGTTTGTCAAATTTATAATCAAAATTTAGTATATACTACAAGATACAAAGGGACAAATAAACCCAAGCGGAGATGGTATGCTCCACGTAATAGCATTTTTTTTAGTCCATGCTACACGTATAGCAGCCCGCAATCTCTAGCAGTAGGCTTGCAGCCCATGGCGCATGCCCCGGGGCGAACGAACGATACCCAGGGAAGCCCATAGGCCCCGTGAGGCACCCCAGTAGAAACGGCCTTTTTCTCAAAAAAGAAGAGAGAAAGAGCAGAAACGGCCTTCTCTTCTAAAAAAAGAAAAACAGAGACGGCCTAAACGGCCTCTTCGCGGGGACGGCACCTCAACAAAAAAAAAAAGCAAACCACTTTCACCGTGCGTCCTGCCACCGCCGCTGCCCGCGTTCCAGTGCTCTACCGCCACGCCAGGCACGGCAAATTAGGCGGGCTCTGTTTCCACGCGTGCATGTGTCCGTCGCTAACGGGCCTCGTCGTCTCATCGTCGGGACAGTTCCTAGTGGGATCGCTTGAATGCGTGCCTTCAGACCCGTACAGCACCGGAGCTCGCGGCATGATCCCCAGGGCGCGGGAGGAGCAGAGCTCGCCGATCCCGAACCTCCATCGGAGACCCTCACTCCTTTCCACCAATCCCTCACTCCTTTCTAACATGGTATCTATCGCAAGTCGATCCTAAACCCTAGCCGCCCCCGCTTCCGCACTTGCGCGCCGCCCCTGGGGCGGTCGGCCTCCATGACCGCCGCCGGGGCTGCGCCGCCCGTACCTAGGGTTCGTCCGCCGGTCGTGTTGACCGGCTGCCCTAGAGAGTCTTTTTCTCGATCCTTTGATCCGGATTTTCTCTCTCGCCGGTCGCTTTGATCGGCGTCTACTTTTTGGTTTTCCGGTCTTTGTGATCCGGTTTGCGTCGCCCACCGCCGCCGTCGACCCCGTGCGCCTCTACTCCGACTTCGGCATCGACTACACCGGCGTCTTCACCGACCTGGCGGCCTCACGCGTCGTCCACGCGTCTACCCGCCGGTCGCTCCGACCCGGCGGCCTCGCATCATGCGGCGGCTATTCACCGCCGCCGTTCGCGCGACGGCCCGCCCGTCGATCTACGCCGGCCGTCACCGCCTGCTCCGACCGGGACTCCTGCATCACCCCGACCCGGCGGCCTCGCGCCATGCGGCGGCCAATCATAGCCGCCCTGCCGCCCGCCGCCGCCGGCTTCATCTCGGACTCCGGCGCCACCACGCCTTCACCGAGCGGGGTCCCCGACCTCGCACGCGATCGGCTTGATCACCCGCTCGCCGCCGCTATCAGCCTCATCTACGCCGCGCGACCGACCTGGCCCGTCGGTTACGCGCGCCTTCGCAGGTCCCGTGAAGATCGTCTCCGAGTTCAGCGCGCCCCTCCGTCGATCGAGCAACGGGCTGCCGCTGCG